TGTGTGTGTGTTTTTGAGCATAAGAAGGCTATGCTATACCTTCCAAAGAAAATACCTGTTAGAAAACTTTCTTCAGCCACGAGTTAAAGTGTTCTTGGCCCTGAGTTAAATGTTAGTGAACCAACAATATTGCTTGGAAGTCCTTCCATGAGCCAGACATGGTGACAGATGCCTATAATCCCAGGGACTTGGGAGGCTGAGGCAGTAGGATTCAAAGTTAAAGACCAGCCTCAGCAAATTAGCAAGTCCTAAGCAACTTACTGAGATTCTGTCTCAAAATAAAAAATAAAAAGGGCTGAGAATATGGCTAAGAAGTTAAGCACCCTGGGTTTAATCCCCAGTACCAGGAAAAAAAAAAAAAAAGGAAATCCTTCCATGGTTCTAGTTGTAGATCTCCATGGTTAGCATTTCTCCAAGAAAGTTATCGAAAAGTGAAATTTCAAGGTTAAAGGATATGCATATGCTTGATTTTTCCCCCCCTAATTTTGTGAAGAGTTCACTGGTATTTTGTTAAATTGCACTGAATCTGTAGATCACTTTTGGGAGTATGAGTATTTTAACGATATTCTTCCAGGCCATGAATATGGAAGGTCTTTCCACCTTTTAGTGTTTTTCAGTTTCTTCCCTATTTTGTAATTTTCGTTGAAAAGATCTTTCACTTGCTTAGTGTATTTCCAGGGTTTTATTTGGTTGGTGGGTGGGGTGGTTTTTGTTTTGTTTTGTTTTTGGGTTTTTTGGGGTTTTTTTGTTGTTTTTTTTTGTAGCTGTGCTTTCATGATTTTTGTATGTAGATTTTATATCCTGCTAGTTTACTGAATTTGTTTTTCAGTTCCACTAGTCTTTTGGTGAAGTCTTTAGGTTTTTCTTTGTATAGAATTAAGGGGTAATTTGACTTCCTCCTTTCCTATTTATATGCTTTTTGTTTCTTACATTGCCTAATTGCTGTGGTTAAAAATCCTTTTAAATGGACCATTAAACACTAAAGCTCTAGTATTTGCAAGTGCTTTAACATAAAAAGCTTGATGACCCTACCATTTGAATCACATGTAAATGTTTCAGTAATGAAGACTACATATATATGAAGTGAGTAATAACAGAATTTCCATTCTAGTATATTAATAAAAATGTTACAAAATGTGTTACAATTAGAATTTGGATCTGAGGTGTCTCCCAGAAGAATTGGGTGGTAACTATAGGTAGATTGAGGGTGAGCCCTGGATAGGTAGGTGTATCTTCTCTAAGACCCCATACTCCCTGCCCTTTTCTCTGTGCTTCCTGGCTGCCCTGAGTGGAGCAGTGCTCTTTGACCTGGACCTGGACCTGGACCTGGACCTGGACCTGGACCTGGCCCTTCTGTTTTGATATCCTGCCTCATCTTGGGCCCAGAGAATGGACTTGGCATCTATGGACTTAAACCTCGAGCCCCAAATAAACTTTTCCTCCTTTAGATTCTTGTCAAGGATGTTAGTCACAACAAAAAATGCTAACTAAATAGTAAGACTTTCCATGTTCAGTTACCTTAACATAAATTTATAAATTTGTTATATTGAGTCAAGAGAGCATTTTTAAGGCTTTTTATTTTTATTTATTTATTTATAGTTGTAGATGCCTTTATTTTATTGGTCAGTGTTTATGTGGTAAGGATTGAATCCAGTGGTGAGGATCAAACCCAGTGCCTCACGCATGCCAGGCAAGTGCTTTGACACTAAGCTACAGCCCCATTTTTAAGTCTTTTATGCTCATTGCCCAATTGTTCTCTAGAAGTGTTTTTCAAGTTTACCTTGCAGTCAGCAAGTTATGATAGAATGTTTTTACTTAATTCTGCCAAGCATTCAATATTATATTTTTAAAGAATCTTTGCTCATTTAAAAGGTAATTAATACAAAATAATTGTTTGCTTCAATTTACATTACTTTTATCACCAGTAACATTTTGTTCCTTTACACATTTACTTGCTATGGTTTTCTTCTTTTTCCTTCATATTGTCTATTCTGAACTATTGCCCATTTATTTATTGGGATCTTAATGTTCTTTTGTCATCTTTAAGATCTTCTTATGTAGCTTATATGTCATTTATCAAATGTGTTTTCCAAGGGTTATTTTTCTTTTTAACTGTTTTCTGGCTGGGGCCTGGGCCTCATATATCTAATAGAAACTATTCTCTGCTCTTTCTTATACTGCATTGACCTGGTTTTATGATTTCTTTTCCCTAGCAGGCATGCTGAATTTGGGGACATTCGTTTGTTTCTGCATTAAGCTTCCTAGGACTTCCCAGGTTCTACTTGTGTTGAATCCTGAATGTGGCCAAGATTTCCTGTCAACCCTTACTTTTCTTCTATACCTACTTCTCTGATTGAATAAACTACCAAAAAAAATTAGAATTTTGTTTTCTGATTAGGAAAGTTTATGTTTATTGTGGAAAGGCCTCAAAATACAGAAAAAGACACACACACACACACAAAATAAGTTCCTATAACTTCACCGTTAAGTAGATGCATTTTGGTGTTTTTTCCCCTAAATAATCAATCTTAATGTATTTTCTACACAGACAAAATTGGAATTATACTCTACATATGGTTTTGTTGTTGTTTCTGTTGTTTGTTGGGGCACTTGACCGCTGAGCCACACCCCTAGCCCTATTTTGTATTAGAGACAGGGTCTCACTAAGTTACTTAGTGCCTCACTAAATTGCTAAGGCTGGCTTTGAACTCGCGATCCTCCTTCCCCCGCCTCCTAAAGCCGCTGGGATTACAGGTGTGCACCCTTGCGCCCTACATATGGTTTTTATCACTTTTCATATGGTAGTCAACTATAAGTGTTTACCAGATATTTATTTACTTTTGTGTTCTCAGCATCCAGCATATTTGTGCATTATCCAACTACAAAATAGTGATACTCAATCCTTAAATAACCAGTTGTAGTGATGCTATTAATAATATAACAAGAATTAATTGTTAACATTAATAGGACTCTGCCTCAGCTTTAAACATACTATATAATCCTCCAAATGTAAAAAGAGACCCTTTGAGTATAGACTACTATTTTCTCCATTTTGGAAATGAGGACATTAAATGGTTTGTTTTTGTTTGTTTGTTTATTTATTTATTGTGGTTCTGGGGATTGAACCCAGGGCCTTATGCATGCGAGGCAAGCACTATACCAACTGAGCTATATCCCCAGGCCCAAGTGACTCAATTTTTCCCACAGGCCCTTCATAGGATGTAATAGGATATCCCAAGCCTTTTGATTTCAAAAACTTTATTCTCTACCAGACCATTAAAATAAATATTACCCCCTAGTGCTAACCCAGAGACATTTTACTGTGCTTATGCCTTGTAAGTCCTATAGAGCTTTCCCCTCCATTCTCCAAAAGGAGGTCTTTTGTGCAGCATTAGAGTTTCTCACTGTATGGCTTTGTAGTGCGGCTAGGCCTGTGGTGGTTCAGTCTGAACCTCTAGAGCAGCTAAAATATTCTGATTAAATTCTGGCTTTGCTTAATAATGTTGTATTACCCGTTACCTTCCATTTTCACTAACATTCTATGCTAAGTGGAATAGTATCTGACTTTGGATTCTATTCTATTGGTTTTTAGTAAGTGTCACTCTAACCCACCCATAAGAGTCCCTGTGATAGTTTTTACTGTATAGTATCTTAAAATTCCTTTGAATTTATTTAAACAACTTTCTTCAAGATTTTGCTTTGTTAATTTTAGTTGCCCAGGAGGCTAAGGCAGGAGGATCATAAATTCAATCCCCAGTAGTGCAAGAGTGGGCGAGGGGGTGGTGTGAAGATCTTACTTTGTGACTGGATCATACTCCAGAGGAAAAGGGAAAATTAATGTCTTTTTAGAGATAAAAACCTGTCAGTCATATATGACTCCAGAGTCAGTAGATTGTATCCATGTCGGCACTTTGTTTGCAACTTGTCATTTTTATTCATGATTGCTATCTGATTTGCATTTCAAAATACTGTGTAGTGAAAATAATAACTGTAAGTCTGCCTGCATTTTTGCTTTTTCTTTTTGCAAGGATAATTCTTAATGTGAAAGATAATTCTAAATTTAAAAATCAAAATCTTTTGATGTTTTGCAAGACAGTCTAATGAGAAAAGTGGTTTTGAAGAGATTTAACTCATTTTTATAAGAAAGTAGTTTTCTAGTATTTGATCAGAGCCTTAAAAAGGATGTCACAAGGATACATAATGACTGAAACCTATTGTGAATAATATTTTTTTAGGTTAAAGATAAGGAATGACAGCTCTTTATGAAAGGAGGGGAAATCAAGAGTTACAGGATAAAAAATAAAACTGGTTATAGAGCTGGGCATGATAGTGCATGTCTCATCTCAGCTACTCAGGAGACTGAGGCAGGAGGATCACAAGTTTGAGGCCAGCCTGGGCAACCTAGCAAGACCCTGTCTCAAAAAAAAAAAAAAAAATTGGAAAGATAATAAAGGAAATCAGAATATGAAAAGTTAACCTATCAATCTAAATGTTCTTTAAAATGCAGTTTGATTGGAAGAACTCTTTTAGACAGACCATCCTCATGGAATGTTTGTATTCTTGTTATTACACACTTTATTAGCATTTTGGTGGTTGTGTCACTGAAGCTTCCATGGTAGTTTGTGCAGTGCCTTTGCTTATAGAATATATTAGCTATTGAATGAATGTTGAAAGTGATCTGAAGTTACTTGAAATTTGTGTAATATGACAAAATAATCTTGTAGATTTATGGATTTTTTTTAATTAGTGATTTGCCTATGTTCTTATAGAAAACATGTTAAAATCATTTTTTGTTACTCATTGGTGAGAACTTTGGTTTCTCTAAAGCTCATTGATTATTTTGACTGTGACCGGAAAACAGGGTGGATACTTATGTGTGTACATGCCTGATGAGTGTATTAAATTTTGGCCCAGTTTTAAAGTAGAGAAGCATTTTCCTTCTTTGTAAAACCTGAAGTAGTATGTCCTTAATGCACTTGTGTTTTTTCTGTCTTATTCAGGGAAGCAATGCTTCTTAGTTCTACGTCAGCAGCAGTTTAATGTCCAGGCTCTTGTGGCTGTGGGAGACCATGCAAGCAAGCAGATGGTTAAATTTGCTGCCAAGTAAGTAAGCAATTATATCCTGTTGTCAGAATAAACAATGGTGGGAACCAAGACTCCCAAGGGTTTGGACCATTTTCATACATTAACATCAATGCTTCGTTTGTTTAAAAATGTAGTTATTTAAATTGTCAGTTCAGTGTTGCTGAATACATTAAACTTACAAAAGAGAAAATATGGAGCACAGGCTTGAAATTCATTTGAAACTGCTGAAGCAGCACTCTTTACAGACAAGTCACATTTACTTTCAAGTAGAGTAACAAAAAGCCTGGCAGCCTCAACATAGCAGAGCAACTTTATTTTGTTGTGTTTGTTGAGCTTCCTTTCCTCCTCCCTCCCTCCCTCAGTTTCAGATGTGCCTACTGAGCAACAAGTTTTCTAACTGAATAATAAAAGTATATAAAATAAAAGAATGTTGTTTGCAAATGATTCCCTCCTGAAGGAAGTAAGCTAATGTCATAATGTGTTACAGCTTTTAACTTTGACACTCAAAGGATTTAGGGCAGAAAAAGGTCTACAGGTCTGGTCTTCTTGCTCAGAGTTCCTGCAGAAGCACATTGTTTTTGTGCAAGAGGCAGGATATAGAAAGAGAAAAGAATGGTGGTTGTGCATGCTGTGGCTCTGAGGTAATGAGAGTAGTTTTATTTGTTATTGGTGACATGGTTAGTTTTGTTTGTGTGTTTTTCTCAATTTCATTGGTATTTTATTCCCATGATAATGATCAAAGATGACAGAGGAAAATGGATGGTTTTTACTTTTAAATAGAGTACTTAATAGGTGTAAAAATGTTTTTTAAAAGAAAGAAATTAGGTTTAGAATAAATGCTATATTTTTCCTATTGATTTTTTTTTAAGATGGATGTTCTTTAGATGGATGCTTTCAAAGGTGTGTTAATAATATAGATGAATTACAAATTCTAGAATTAGAAAGAAATTTAAAAATGATCTAACTTAGTATTCTAATTTTTGTTTGAGCCTTCCCTGACTCCCTACCGTAGTGTTTTACACATAGTGGATGATGAACAACTGGTTGTGGTTTAAAGATTTATTTATCAGATTCAGCTTTATTGTTTCATAGTAATAGTTACACTCAGGTTTTAAAATTTCAGTGCCATGAATTACATCAACTCACTGATGAATTTAGTAGTTTTAGTGTTACTGGTATGGCAGCTCTATCTGTCCCTTTCCTAGACCTGCTGCCCAGAGACTGCCTCTTCGTGTCTTCTGGTCTTCTGCCTGTATTTTCTTGTGATTAGGCTGGCTTGTTTTGATTTCTTTGTGTGTGTGTGTGTGTCCCTTTATTTTATTTATTTATTTATTATGTGGTGCTGAGGATCAAAGCCAGAGCCTCACAAGTGCTAGGCGAGTGCTCTGCCATAATCCCATCCCATTATTTTCATTTCTTAGATAGTAAGTGTGCTTGTGAAATACATTTGTCATTATGACTTAAGATCAGTGTATTTCCTATGAAATAGGACGTAAATGAGTTTGGTCCCTAGAAATAAACTTTTATCTATAAAAAGAGCCTTATATAAAAAGAAAAAAAAAAGATGGCCATGGAATTCACAGACATATATGCCAAATTATATTTAATATACTAGAAATTTTTAGGGAAAAGTTAACTTGGAACAGATAATTTATAAACTTCAAACAAATAGTGTATGTTGGGGTGTGTATGCATGATAGGTACTACAGATTGAACCCAGGGCCCATGCCTGCTAGACAAGTACTGTATCACTGAACTATATCCCTAGTTCTTCTTTTTAGTTTTGAGACAGAGTCTTACTAATTTGCACAGGCTGGCTTCAAATTTGTGATCCTCCTGCATCAGCTTCCCAAGTAGCAAGGATTACAGGAATGTGCTACCAGTCCCAGCCAAGCAAATAATTTTTGGTTTTTGTGTTTTATATATATACAAGTTTTGAAATATGTGAAACTGACATTTTACATAGAAGGTATTTTTTTAATTGAATTGAATTATAACCTCAATGTTACATTCATAGCATTCTAATTAAAAGTCTTGCCTCATTTACCATTAATGTTCACTAAGAGACATTCTACCAACAAGTGGTGAGTCTATGTGATATCTTTAGAAGTAGACACATTAAGAGCTGGGGTTATAGCGCAGTGGTAGGGCACTTGCATGGCACTTGGTTTGATCCTCGGCACCACATAAAAATAAATAAATAAAGGCATTGTGTCCATCTGCAACTGAAAATATATATATATTTTTAAAAAGTAGACAACATTAAAGTAGACCACAGAAAAGTTATTCTAATTAGTAACAACAGTTGTTCATATCAAACATCAACTACAACTTACTAGCTAAAGAATTAGTTGTAGATGGTCTCCCAAACAGAATCTAGTTAACTGATGTCTTCACATGTAAGTTAAAAGAAAGGCAGGCTTTCATCCATATGTGATGGTATAAGAATGATCTTACTTTTAAACAAAGGAAGAATTTAGATAATTTCTAAAGAGAAAATCAAAATCTAATTGTAACTTAGGCTTAACAGTTAAGTTGTAACTTGGGGTTGTTTTTTTGTTTTTTTTTTTTTTTTTTTTAACAAAAAGCTATTTTTAGTCCCCTAAAAATTGTACCTTATACAGTTGTATATAACTTTGGCAGTAATATGCTAAGGTATTAAGCTAGAGTAATTAAGAATAGTTCTGTTAATGGCTTTTATTAACTTGGGAAAAGGGGAAAGTCTCATGACTAAAACTGTGATAAATGATGAGTTTTTAGTATTTGGGGTTGGTTTATTGGTAAGATAATTTTCCAGCTCCAGATGCATCAGTCACCTTGTCTTTTTTATATTTGGACTACTAAGGTAGCTCAGAAATCCTTATCCTTGGTGGCAGAAGACATATATCTTTTCTTACAGAAAGCCAGTAATCTGATCTTTGTATTCAAAGTACTAATTTTTAAAGAAAAAGTTTGTACTTTGAAAATTGTTACCTCCTCTGTTCATACATAATAATAAATCAAGTGACGCTGTAAATTCTTAAGAACTTTTTTAAAATATTTTTTTTAGTTGTAGATGGATACAATATCTTTATTTTATTTATTCATTTTTATGTGGTGCTGAAGATCAGACCTAGTGCCTCACACCTGTGAGGCAAGTGTTCTACCACTGAATTACAACCCCAGCCCGGAAGAACTTTTAGAATTTAAGATGTATCTTTTTTGCCTGCTGTCTGCTGGTTCCTTCTCTACAATGGCTGGTTCCCTCTCTACAATGTTGTTTTCCAGTACATTCTTCAGATTGGGCAGAATCTCCATGCCTACAACCTCCATCTCATGATTTTCTTTTGGGGAAGGGAGTATGGGGGGGATTTAACTCAGGGACACTCGACCACTGAGCCACATCCCCAGCCCTATTTTTGTATTTTATTTAGAGAGAGACAGGGTCTCACTGAGTTGCTTAGTGCCCTGCCATAGCTGAGGCTGGCTTTGAACTCCTGGTCCCTGTTCAGCCTCCCGAATCACTGGGATTATAGGCCTGTGCCACTGCGCCTGGCCCCTTGTGATGGTTATTGATTTCTTAGGGATCCACACAGGATGGTGGAAATTTTTTATATATACTTTTTATATTTTAGTATACACTTCAATAGTAGTCTTAAAATTATGGAAGGGTATTTTTCCATGTTAAATGCAGCCAAGAACTTCAGTGTGAACTTAGTTCCTCCAGTAGAATTTAATTTCACATTCACAGTTCAAGGATCTGAAGCCAAATGATATCTGTGTTCAGTATAGGTGAAGATTTCAAAGCAATTTGAATACAGACTTTGAACACCGCTGGGTTACCAGGTGGTACTTGATAGTAAAAAGACATTCTGAACTCAAAAAAACCTGTACCATTTAAGCAGTTGGTATTCAATCCTATTTTTTGTCTGATAGGGGCAGCAGATCATTAATAGTATAGTAGCAAGGAAAAATATTCTGTTTTCGGTTTCAGTAGTTTATCAGATTAGACATTTGATAATCCATTTAAAATGATACAAATTTCAGTAGTGCTGCATTATGAATTTTCACATGAACACATAGTTTTATAAAATTATCCACTGATACTTTAAGTTGTCATCGTTAGATTGTTCTTTGAAGAATTTTAGTTAATTATGAGGCAAAATTTTTCTGAACCAACCTCAAAGTTTCATGTAATTATGAACAGGCATTCTTCACATTACTAACGTTGAAATCAAATATAGAAACACATTATTAAATAGAGAACTGACACTAAGGCTAAGCTTTATATAGTAAACCAATGTCAGCAATTTAGTTTTAGTAAAACTTTAAAGTTTAAATTGTTTTTATTTTCTTTAAAAATTAATTTTAAAAGTAAGAGCTATAATAATAATAATAAGCATTTACACTAGTTTTGTATTTGTAGAGTTTGGGAGTTTTTGTTTGTTTGTTTGTTTTGGGTTTTGGCACTCTATTGAACTCAGGTTCTCACTAGGCAAGTGCTATACCATCAGCTACATCCCCCACCCTTTTTTTTTTTTTTTCGTTTTCATTTTAGTTTGAAACCATCTCACTAAGTTGCCCAAATTGGCTTTATCAGACTTGTAATTCTTTCTATAGCCTCCCAAGTAGCTGGGGTTACAAGCCTGGGTCCCCAGCTACTTGTAAGTATTTAAGTAAAATGATAAATAATTAATTTAAGTCATCACTGAAGGTCCCTGATATCTTTTGTTCTACTAAAGAGAGCCCATATAGTATGTTTAGAGTCAGTTCTTGGTCTGTGCCATATTGAATAGGGAATATACTTCTCACCTATCTTATTTTAAACTTACTGTTCTTGAGATTTTGGTAAAGAAAAATGAGTTCATAAAATAATTCATCATAGAACCACTAGGATGATTGAAACCTTTCATTTTTGCCAAGCACCAATGAGAGCTGGCTTAATAGAGGACCAGAGAACCCAGAGACTTGGCTTACCCACTAAATGGTAACAAAAATTCAGGCTCCTTCTGAACTCTGCTCAACCAAGCCTCCACTTC